GTATTGATTTAGCGGAGCCTAAAATTCTCAATACACTCTCAGTGTAGTGTTTTCATGGACCCTGTCAATACAGAGTACGCGACCTGTGGACCCTGAAAGTGATGTTATCTGAACGAAGCTTCGTAGAAGCTTCGTTCCGATACCCCCCCATGTGGGTAATTATGATTTCGCACCTAACCATGTGGGGGCTTCGTTTCACGCGCACTAGTGACAAGAACCGACACAGAACACAACTGTCCTTTGTACAGCATCGATGTACAGCACAGCTGTCAAATTTGACAGCGCACCTAGAAGCATCATATATACTGCCACGCGCACCGCGCAAATCACAATACGTGTCCCTCATTGGAGGGAGACAGTTAGTGGCTGTCGTCGCTGGCAGTGAAGCAGTCGTTCAATGTATTCGGCCTGCATGAAAGGCCGAATACAATGACGGCTCGTTGTTTCGACCACCGCGCCATCAATTTCGTGGCGACGCGGTGGATTCTTGCTGACCCCACCTTCTCCCTCCATCTCTTGCTTCCCCCCTCCCACAGCCAGGGTCTTGTTGGTGCTGCTGTTGTGTTCCCTTTTTTCAATTCTTTTCTCCGTTTCTCTCTCTCCCCATCTCTAGCTTCTCCCCGCCATGGAAGGCCAGCAGGCTGACGAGGACACGCCTCAGGCTGGCTCAGATGAGCCACTGTTACCGCCGAAAGCCACGGAGCCACGCTCGGGGATTGATTTTCTTAGATGTTCCGCTGCTCCAATAACACCGGATCCACCTAGGTCTACCGTAGATGATTCTGCAGTTAAAGACACGCCTACGGCCACACCTGAAGAGTCTCCCCGGGAGGCCGCCTTCACTATACCCCCGGCTGTTGCTTCTTGCAGCAAAGATCCCCAACCGACCGCGCCAAGTCCCACACCAAGCACCGTTGGTGTGTCCGTTGGTCCTCCGTCGGCTACCTCCACACCGAAGAGAGCGCGTTCAGGGAAGTGGGCGCAGCATACCCTGCTCGTCGGAGGCCGCAGACTTTCTGCTTCGAACACTCCGGCTGATCCACCACCTCCTGCATCTGCACCGCCAGAGGAAGATGTGTTCCCGATCCGCGCGGACACCGGCTCGCCCGTCCTCACCAAGGCGCAGCTGCGAGAGCAGATGTTCCTGGAGGCCAGCATCATGTACGATACGAGGTGGTCGGGACAGTTCTCCTGGCTCGTGTTGGGAAAAACCAAGGATGGGTTTCCCTATGTGAAGTGCAGTGTCTGCATGGCCTACGGGAAGGAGAACACGAGGTACGCGAGGCAGGGTGATGACGGAGGCCGTGACATGCAGACGCAGGCGTTTCGCGTACACGAGCACACGGACGCGCACAAAGCGGCTGTTGACCGGCAGCTGAAGATTGCGAGAGGCATCCGCGAGGGGCAGCAAGTGATTTCAAACTTCATCAACTCGGACGTCGAGGGCAGGCGCGCCGTCCGACTGTTGCGGTCGGTTGTGTTTCTGTGCAAGTGCGACGCGCCGATAAGCATGTACCCTAGGCTGATGCGGCATCTCGCGGAGCAGGACACGCCCGACATCCCGAGACAGTCTTACGGTGTTTATCTCACACGGTAGGACATTTTAGTTACAATCTTGCTGTATAGAATTCGTGGTAATGAAATATTTTCCCCCATAAAGACTAACTGAAAGACCTACATCTCTGCGCAGGTACGGCTTCCAGCAGATGGTTCACTGCCTCAGTACGTACTTGACGAATGCGCAGATGGACCACATCAACTCCTCACCGTTCCTGGGCCTGCAATGCGACGAGAGCACTGACCGAACGCGTGGTAAACACATGATTGTTTACCTGACCTTCATCAAGGACCGCCGAGTCGTCACCGAGTTCTTCACCCTCCTGACTGTGGAGAAGTGTGATGCTGCGTCCATGTTCGAGGTGCTCATGAATCATCTGCCCTCCGCAGCCGTCGACGTGTCGAAGCTTGTCGGAATCAGTACGGACGGGGCTTCGGTCATGACGGGGAAGGACAACGGATTGGTGGCGCGGATCAGGGAGCACGCCCCGCATCTCTTTTCCTGTCACTGCATCGCGCACCGGTAAGATTTAGTGCCAGTTATTGATCCAGTTCATGCTGCTTGCCTGATTTCTACTCTAACAATTATTAACGTTGTCTATTGTAGGGAGGCGCTGGCTGTTAAGGACGCGGCGACGTCCAACCCCGACCTCGGCATGGTGGACAAGGTGGTGCGCACCGTGGCGGCAAAACTAGGAGATTCTTCAGTCTGGAGCCAACGGTTCAAGTACCTGCAGCGTGTGATCTACAACACTAACCTCGAAGTCCAGGGGATCCACACGGTTCGCTGGCTCTCACGTGGAGATGCGGTGCGACGGCTGTGCAAGGTGCTCGGTGCGTGTATCGTTCTTCTGTGGGAGCGGAGTCACAAGGTGTACGAGATCGTCACGTGCTACAAGTTCCAGTTTTGCCTGTTCTTCCTCGCCGACATCCTCGCCGACATGAACGACCTCAACCGCTGTTTCCAGAAGCGAGATGTGAGTTTGTTTAATCTTCCACGAACACGCCTCTGCTAGTGTCTCCAATTTATCGAGTGTTGGATGTAAAATGACATGTCCTGTATGACTGTGCCCTTACAGATTGATGTGACGGAGATTGCGAAGACCATCGAGGCCACCACGGCGGATCTGACTGAGCGGTATTTGGATACCGACAAGCAGTTCGGTGGCGAGGGCAAGTGCTGGCTGGTCGGCTTTCTGAAGCTGCACGGGCATGGTGGAGGCAAGAAGGTCCGTGTGAGAGGCGTGGATGGGGAGGGACGCCCAGTGAACCATCTGTACACCATGCACGAGCGGAAGCTCCCGGGGCACAAGGTGGGGAGCGGATACGAGGAGTGCGTGAAGCTGTGCCGCAGTTTCGCCCGCGATTGCGTGGACAATCTCAACGAGCGGCTTGATGACCTGGGGAAGCTGGGGCCGACGATGCTGTTTCGGGCCGGAAAGTGGCCGAAGATCAAGGCACAACGGGAGAAGAAGTGTCGTGAGTGGCTTCTGGGATGCAGCAAACTCTTCCGCCACAAGCTGCCGGGATTCGACCTCAAGGCCGCAGAGAGGGAGCTTCCCACATTCTGTGCGATCATGGAGGCGCACCACGAGTTGGAAAGCTTCACGCAGGGACTGACCAACATTCTCGGGAGCGCGGACTCGAAGAGGTATGTCCCCGTAGTGTGACAGCATGCTATGCCATGCGGGAGTCTAATGTATTTTGTGCATGTGGTCACTCTGTTTCCCACCCATCTCCGACAATGTGCCTGGCAGGAGGTGGCCCAACCTCGTCCTCCTGTGGCAGGCGATCGCGGTGCTCCCCCTGTCAACTGTGGAGTGCGAGAGAGGATTCTCGAGGCAAAATGTTATCAAGTCTTGGGTGCGCGGCGCTCTCTGCAACGCGCGGCTAGGGGAGCTGATGCAGATTTCGCTCCTGAATTACGACATCGAGTGGCCGGACGCCCTGGAGGTCTGGAGGTCTATGAGGAGGAGGCGCCCCGCAAAGAGCGTGAAACTTGCTGTGGTTGATCGCGAAAGGAGGGGGAAAGCAAAGGAGGGTGAAGTCGAAGCAGGAGCTGCCCACCAGAACGATGGGGAGGAGGACGAGGAGGAGGAGGAGGAGGATGTGGAACAGGCCCTGGGCGACGATCAGGAGCTTGTGGGGGAGGAGGAGGAGGAGGACAATCCCTTCCTTTCGGACGATGAGGATGTGGAGGAAGTGTTCCACATCGATAGGCCTGTGCACTAGAATAGAGTAGATGTAGGAGGAAATTTGTTACAGGCTGTACATTGCAGTAATCACCCTAGTAAAATTTGAAATACAACCCTGAATTCAGGCTGTCGACCCTGACTCATCAGAGTGACTAGTTGTTGAACCCTGAGCCATCAGGGTGACAATCTTCTGAACAATGTGCACTCATAATCGAGGGAAAAAAAATTTAGCGGCATCAGGGAGCCCTAACGTGAAACGTCAGCCCTGGACGTGGTAACGGTAACGTGAGAAAATGGGGTGCGCTACGGGCCTAGCGCCGAGGTTGGGAATTGTCGAGGCGGAGGGCCGGAGCGTGGGTTACCAACCGAACCGTGAGGTTGGGTCGCGAGGTGTACCGTGGCGGGAGCAATGGTCGAGGCGAGTGTCGTGATCAGGTAATGTTTCACTGTTGGTTGCCGTTGGCGGGAACTGCCGTGCACGCGTTATGCAGGGGCACGAAGTAAGGAAAATGTTTTTTAAGTGCAGATTGTTAGTCTTGTGGCGGAGGTTCCTTCCAACACTTGTGCAATCCATTTTTTGTGCGATGGGATGGGAGTCATCCTCGTTGCACACTGCCTCTCGGAAGCGTGGAAGACTTTTGTGGTTCTGCGCGCTGACAATCTCGATGGAGTTTGGCGCGAAGCTTTTCAGGTGGCCCTAACCTAGGAAATACCGTACATTGCCAGTTTCCTAACACCTTCGGTTTCTCGAGAGTGCAGAGCAGAACAGATCACCTAGCCAATGAAGACGTGATTACCCGAAGGAGTTACACTCTTTCAATAAGTTTCAGTTGGCACTTTCGCTGCTTCCAGCTGGTTCTGTAAGCATTGCGTCTTGCTCACTCGATCCATCTTCGATTCCACTCGACATAGCGTATAGCCTCGCAGGCAAGCAACCAGGAGCCAGCTTGCGTTGACGGGGACCGCGCGTTTATCGTTTCATGATACCGATGGGTCGCAGTCGATGATTAGGGTTACATAGCTCGATTGCTGTTTTCTTGTTGCGTGCTCGCGTTGGGGATCGCGAAGCTGCTTCGGGGAAGGATCCAATCCTGCTAGTGCTTGGATTGGCTGGAACCGTTGATTGTTACTTCGTTATAGAGGGACAGTAAATCGAATTCGAGTTTTACAGAGACGAATTTTCTGACTTTGGTTCTGCGACATAAATCAGTTGGACTCTGCGACAATCGAACTAGACTCTGCAACACAATGGCGTCGCTCGAGATGACCGATATGAAGAGTACGTTTCTTTTTGCTTATCCCTGGATCTGTGCGACTTGGTGTTACCTGCCGATTCCGAGTTCGCTTGTCGCATAGGATGCTGTGAAATGCGCTGGCCTTGCATCTATACTTCATCTGATCTCGCATTGTTCCTGCAGTCTGATCTTGCATCAGAAGCATTGAGTTCATTCTCGTCAGGTGTCTTGTTTGCCGAAATGCGACTCACCTTTAGGCGCGTCTGTCCCAGTTTGGAATCCTCAGCTTCTTGCCTCTTCCCTGAACCAGATTGAACGTTTTGGCTTATTGTCCTGTATCTTCTGGTATCTCTTGACTCTACTGCTTTCCCTGACTCTGTTGGTTTCCCTTAACTCTTCTGGCTGCGCGTCTGCAGAGATCGGCATTGGGTTGACTGCGTTTGGCGTGCTCTTCTCGTTTCTCGGAGTCATTTTCTTCTTTGACAAAGGGCTGCTAGCCATGGGGAATGTGAGTACGGCATGGGGAACCCTTTTTTGGGGGGGGTTGAGGGGGGGGTGCAGAGATCGGCATTGGGCTGACCGCGTTTGGCGTGCTCTTCTCGTTTCTCGGAGTCATTTTATTCTTTGACAAAGGGCTGCTAGCCATGGGGAATGTGAGTACGGCATAGGAAACGTGCTTGTTTAATGAAAAAAGCGGAAAGTTTGCTGCTAATATCAATACCGCGTCGGAGTCACTTCCCAGATGGGATAATAGCTTCGGGAAATGTGAGTATTGCATGGGAGTCGTGATTTTTTTTTGGGTAATGTGATCATGTTCTTGAAAAGTTTTCACACAAACTTGTGTTGTTTCCACAGAGTGGCATCTGATCAGTTTCATGAATGATTTGGTTCTGCCTTTAACCAGAATAAAACGAACCATCCCGCTCTGTGAAACCCTCAATCCTCAATCCTTTGGCAGATCTTGTTTCTCGCGGGTGTGACGCTCACAATCGATCACTTTTTAGTCGACTCAAAAGTCACCTGTGTCTCAATGAGATCCCGACTTCTCCCTTTCTTATTTAACTGTCTGTGGCAGATCTTGTTTCTCGCGGGTGTGACGCTCACAATCGGTCTGCAATCCACCATCTCCTTCTTCACAAGGCGAAGAAACAGAAAGGTGGGATTTTTCTGCCTCCCTCTGTGTTTCGACTGCCTCCCTCTGTGTTCCGTCTGCTTCCCTCTGTGTGCCGTTTGCCTCCCTCTGATCTGTACCCTCTTGGTCTCTGCACCAGCATCTACCTTTTGAATGGAAACGGCAATTTTGCCCTCAAAATTCTCACCCGCGCTTGGCCCCGGTTTCTTAACAGGGTCTCGCCTTCCATGGTGTGAAGGAACAGGCTTCTTTGTGATCCTCTAAAGCTCCTCCCTCCATTGTCTCCTCCCTCTTGTTGTCTTCCCCCTCCCATTTTCTCCCTCTCCTGTTGTCTCCTTCCTCCCATTGTCCTTTCCCTCCGGTTGCCCCCTCGCTCCGATTATCATCTCCATTCTTCCAGTGTCTTCCCTCCTCCTCGTTGTAACGGGCACAAACCCTCTTTTTTTTTTTTTTTTTTTTTTTTTTTTTTGGTTCCATGCTGCAAGTTCGCTTCTGTGACATATTAAAAGCTGGCTGTCATGCTCATTTTCGATTCGACTTCAGCCCGTCATGACCTCCCTCCCTCTACACATTGCATGAATAATTTTCTCGGTGTTGCATCGCATGCGTCTCGCCGACAGGTGTATTTTGAGTCGACTCAAAATACGCCTGGCTGCCATGCTCCGTCTTTGTTCATGCCTGAGCCCACCATGACCTCCCCTCCCCACACTACATAAATATCGCACCAACCAGCTTCAGCCCACTGTTGGTCCTCTTGGGTTTGGTCCTTGTGCTGGTAGGCCGGACTATAATTGAACATGGCTATTGTTCTGTAGGCCGGACTATGATTGCATGGCAGTTCGAGCACATGGCTTCAATCAGTGATGTCTCATGTTCTCCCTAATCTCCTGCAACAGGGCTCGGCATTTTTCCTCTCGGGGTTGGTTCTTGTTGTGATTGGCTGGACAATCGTTGGCATGGCCATCCAAGCATATGGCTTCGTCCTACTCTTCAGGTGAGCATGGAATTTTAGGTATATTTTGTGTCAACTCAGAGTACACCCAGATGATCATTGGCATGGCCATCCAAGCATATGGCTTTGTTCTACTCTCAGGTAGTCATGGAATTTTGGTCTACTTCGAGGCGACTCAGAACGTATATGATAGTTGGCATGGCCATTCAAGCATATGGCTTTGTCCTACTCTTCGGGTAGGCATGAAATTCGCTGGTAGTTGCTTCATCGAGGTTCCAAAAGTATACAAGCATTTAGCTCCTTAGGTTTTGCTTAATACAATATTCTCCTAAAATCTGCTCCCCAGATGGCTTTAAGTTTTGCTCAAAAGTAATATCAATTCAAAATATGCTCGCTAGCCGAATTAATTTGAGCTGACTCAAAAGCCATATCCTCCTAGCATATGCTCGAGATGGCTCATAAGTTGAGTCGAACTCGTATCCTTTTAACACGTGCTCTAGATGTCTCATAAGTTGACTCCAAACTCGTATCCTTTTAACACGTGCTCGAGATGGGTCATAAGTTGACTCCAAACTCGTATCCTTTTAACACGTGCTCGAGATGGGTCATAAGTTGACTCCAAACTCGTATCCTTTTAACACGTGCTCGAGATGGGTCATAAGTTGACTCCAAACTCGTATCCTTTTAACACGTGCTCGAGATGGGTCATAAGTTGACTCCAAACTCGTATCCTTTTAACACGTGCTCGAGATGGGTCATAAGTTGACTCCAAACTCGTATCCTTTTAACACGTGCTCGAGATGGGTCATAAGTTGACTCCAAACTCGTATCCTTTTAACACGTGCTCGAGATGGGTCATAAGTTGACTCCAAACTCGTATCCTTTGAACACGTGCTCGAGATGGGTCATAAGTTGACTCCAAACTCGTATCCTTTTAACACGTGCTCGAGATGGGTCATAAGTTGACTCCAAACTCGTATCCTTTTAACACGTGCTCGAGATGGGTCATAAGTTGACTCCAAACTCGTATCCTCCCAACACTTGCTCTCTCTCCTTGGACCTGCGGGTCCTGCTTCTTCTTTCTCTTGCCCCTGCTTCTTCTCCTGCTCTTGTTCCTGCTCCTGCTCTTCCTCTTCTTCCTCCTCTTCCGCTTCCTCCTGCTCTTCCTTCTTCTTACTCTTCGTCCTGCTCTTCCTTCTTCTTACTCTTCGTCCTGCTCTTCCTTCTTCACTCTTTCTCTTGGTCTATCACTTGGCAGTGGCTTTCTTCCAACTCTTCTCGTTTTCGTGCAACAGATTCCTGTGCTGGGATGGCTGCTGGATCAACCGTACATGCGTCAGGTGCGCTAAATTGCAGCGCTTCATCCATTCAGACAGCTGTTTTATTGCTTGCTTTTTGAAAATCCAGATGATTCTGCTGCTGTATGCAATGGGTGGGTGCCAGTGGATAGAGGCTGAGTTGATAGATTCTTGTGTGTGCTACACTCACAACTCTTAGTGTTCCTTGGTTTGTTTCTTTGTTTTTGGCAGTTCTTGGGAAGATTCAGGGATCATCTGCCTCCATAGACTTTTACATGATAAGACTTTAGGACTAGTTCTAGATGGACGCTGCTATAATGAGCGCCACTGATCGAGCCAAACTTGTTAGGGCATCTAGCAATGTGCAAAATACCAGGTATGATTGGACAGTTGCGCTGTGGTGTGAAGTCATCTTTTAGGTGCCCAAATGGCACCAACCACACAGCTAGCTTTTGACAAAATATGTATACCGTATGTTGTCCTGGTGCTGAGTTGCTGACGTTAACTATTCTTCCACAGACTTTACACTCTGTTTCTGAATTCATTTCCTGGTTATTCAACTTTGTGAAAGTTGGCATCAGTAGCGAATCATACTGTATGACAATGTCGGCGCCCTTCTCTATAGTGCTGAGGCCTGACAACCGTCACCCAATCAGAACAGCTTTCGATCTCTCTAGTTTCCCGCCTTCACCGAGGATTGTCCATTTTCCTTGGGATCTCCCGTCTACCACCCAGATGCTCGAGATCATAGAATTTCTGCACGGATATCAAGTTGTATTTCGGTGCGTTGCGTTCCAAAGCGGTGAATATTTAGAACCGTGTAGAATCGTGAGGAAACCAGCGGAACCGCAATGCGCAAACAGGCCCTGAATACTTCGCTTGGCGCTGGCCTTCGCGATCAAAAGCGATTTCCATAATCCGAGCAAAGCAAGAATCATTCTTGCATTTCTGGCAGCTATTCTAGCTTTTTAGGTGCCGTCAGCATTTCAGGAGACATCTGCCTGGAAGGTCATCAGTGGCTGGTTCAGCTATCCTGCCGCAGAAATTTCATGTTGTAACGGCCATCGCTAACGGTCTTCATCACTTGGCTAGCGTTGAGCTTACAGGCCGTTTGGTAGTCGTGTCAGACCGTTAGCAATAACAGCTGATTACAGGATCTCTCAGTTGAACATAATGAGGAGCTTATTCTTTCTTCTCCTCGCGCTGCTGCTCATCGCACAGCCGTTCGCGAAGCAAGCTTCGTTCCTTTCGCGAGCTCACGAGGTTGACGACGAGAGTTACTCGGTCGGCGACGATGAAGAGCCCTTAGAAGCCGACGACTCCGAAATCCCCGAAGGCGACGACGGCGACGTTGTCGCATTGACGGATGCGACATTCCCACAAGCTCTTAAAGACAATAAGCATGTATTGGTTGAATTTTATGCCCCCTGGTGCGGCCACTGCAAGTCCCTCGCTCCAGAGTATAAGAGCGCAGCGGCGATTTTGAAGGAGTTTGGAGTGGTTCTGGCGAAAGTGGATGCGACCAAGTATGCGGATATCAGCGAGAAATACAACGTGGAGGGTTTTCCTACCATTGTGTTCATCACTGACGGCGAGTCGAAGCCGTTCAATGGCGGACGGACAAGGTAAGCTGCATATCGCAAATCAGGAGAAGATCTGAGTCAACTAAAAACATGAGATGTTTCATACCTTGAATTAATTCCTTGATGTAAATTCCGCCATGCGACGTTGAAGGTCACGTTTTTTACCTCCTTTTGATTTCTGTCCTGTTTATTTCTGTCGCTTGCTCAGGGTTTTCACCCATCTGTAGCGCTGACATCGTCTCATGGTTGAAGATGAAGATCGGCATGGGGGTGACCACTTTCAGTTTTCCTGACGAAGAAGTTTATTACTTCTTTTATTTTCTGTACGATCTCTTTCTGTCTCTCTCTCTCGCTTTCTCTCTGCAGCGCTGAAATTGTCTCATGGGTGAAGAAGAAGATCGGCATGGGGGTGGCCACCTTCACTGCAGCCGACGAAAACGAATCTTACTTCCTTTCATTATTCTACTATCTCTTTTCTGTCCGTCTGTCTGTTTCTCTGCAGCGCTGAAATCGTCTCATGGGTGAAGAAGAAGATCGGCATGGGAGTGGCCACCTTCACTGCAGCCGACGTCGCCAAAGCGGCTCCTCTCATCGAGTCCTCCGCTGCGGTTACCGTTGGCTTTTTCGCTTCTTCCGATGTAAGCCCGAATCGCGATTTTCTTTGCTCCCTTAAAGGTCGCGTGCGATTTCGTGTTTTGTAAAGCGATCTGTTTTTTTTTTAACGTTCTTTTTTCTCTCAACGTTGTGGAATGTATTTTGGATGTCTCAGGCACCCGAGGCTGTTGCGTTCAGCGAAGCAGCCAAGGAGACTGACGGCGTGGAGTTTGTGCTGACCACTGACGCCGACGTCGCTGCTGCGTTCGGCCTGACCAAGGACAAGAAGCCCGCCGTCGCGAGTGTTAAGAAGGAAGAGGAGAAATTCGTCATTTTCGGTACGTTCTAGCAGCGTATCCGTCCTTGTTGTCGCTGCTTGTAGTGTCCCACTAGTGGCTGATTGTCAGTGCTGACGAGTCAGTGACGGCGACGTCGCTGCTGCGTTCGGCCTGGCCAAGGACAAGAAGCCCGCGTCGCGATTGCGAAGAAGGAAGTGGAGAAATTCGTTGTCTTTGGTACGTTCTAGCAGCGTATCCGCGTCCCCCTCCCTGTTGTCGCTGCTAGTATTGCCCCACTAGTGGCATGTTGCCAGTGTCCAAATGTGAGTGACGCCGACGTCGCTGCTGCGTTCGGCCTGGCCAAGGACAAGAAGCCCGCCGTTGCGAGTGTTAAGAAGGAAGAGGGAAACTTGGTCACCTTTGGTACGTCGCTTTATCTGTCATCCGAAGCGCTGTTCTTTTGAGAGTTTTCAAAATTGATACCAGTGGTGCTCACTGCTAGTGACGTTGACATCGCGCTGTGATCCGTGGAGAATTTGCTCCCCGTTGGATGTTCCTAATTATTCATTTCTCATCGTAAGCGCTGCCCTGCTCTCACGGATGCGTCAAGCTCATTGGTGGAGGCATATTCGCACTGCATCCGCCCATTCCTTGTGCGGCCCTTCCCTGTTTCTGCCCGTGATCGTGGCTGCAGACGGCGAATACACCAAGGAGGCCAAGCCAGCGTTCGTGACCGCCAACAAGCTGCCCCTGCTCATCACCTTCTCTTGCCCTCTCTCCCTCTCTTCCCCTATCCTTCTTTGATTTTCCTTTTCTGCCTTCACCCCTGCTGCAGACGGCGAGTACACCAAGGAGGCCATTGCCGCGTTCATGACGGCCAACAAGCTGAATGACCCTCTGTGCTCTCCCTCTCTCCCTCTCTGAATGACGTTCTCTGCTCTTGTAATTGCAGACGACGAGTACACCAAGGAGGCCATTGCAGCGTTCGTGACGGCCAACAAGCTGCCGCTGCTCATCACCTTCTCAGAGGAGACCTCGGCCAGCATCTTCGCTGGGGACATCAAGAAGCAGGTGGGCAAAGTTCTGGCACGTGCGATGTGTTTGGTATGCATTGGCATGGTATGTGCAATGTGTTTGGTATGCATTGGCATGCCATGTGCAATGTGTTTGGTATGGATTGGCATGGCATGTGCAATGTGTATGAAGGTATGGTTTATGACAAGCTGCCGCTGTGACTGTGACTTCTATCCTTGCTTGCGATGGCAAGAAGCAGGTATGACATGGTTTGGTTTGGCAGTTGCAATTTGTATGGCTAGCCAGCTGTAAAGCCCTTTTCTTCAGCTTTCGTCACACTCATTACTAGAATTTCTCTCCCTTCTTCCGTCTCTCTCGATCTCTCTCCCTCATCCTCCGTCTCCCTCTCGCTCACTCTCTCCTTATGTGATGCTGTTCTCCCCTCACAAGGACTACCTCAAGTCCCTTCTATCATTCCCCTACCTCCCACTCACACTCTACCCCTCGCCCTCTACCAGGTGATGCTGTTCGTCCTTCACGAGGACTGCCTCAAGATCGTGCCAGTCGTGGCTGCAGCAGGGCATGGCATATGTGGGCGGCTTTCCTCACACTGTATCATCTCTCTCCCTCCCTTCCACACTCCCCCTCTCCCTCGCTCACTCTCTCTCTCAAGTGATGCTGTTCGCCCCGCACGAGGAGCCGACAGTCCCTGCAGCAGCGAATGCCATCTCTGATCGCTTTCTCGTTCTCTCTCTCCTTCATCGCTCTCTCACCCTCTCGCAGGTGATGCTATTCGCCCCGCATGAGGAGTACCTCAAGATCGAGCCAGCCGTGGCGGCAGCAGCGAAGCAGTTCAAGGGCGAGCTGGTGTTTGTGTTCATCAACGGGTCCGACTCGGAGTCGCAGCCAGTGCACGAGTATTTCGGCACGGACCCCAAGGAGACCTCGGTGAGTGCAGTGCGGTGTGGCGCGGTGCGGTGCGGTCCAGTGCGGTGCAGTGTGGTGCAGTGCGGTGCAGTGTGGTGTAGTGGTTCACAGCAGGTAGTGAATGTCAAGGGCGAGCTGGTGTTTGTGTTCATCAACGGGCCGGACTCGGAGTCGCAGCCAGTGCACGAGTACCCTGGCACGGACCCCAAGGAGACCTCGGTGAGTGCAGTGTGGTGCAGTGCAGTGCAGTGCGGTGCAGTGCCGTGCAGTGCTTAGAGTGCTGCTGGTTATTAGTGGCGGCAGCAGCGAAGCAGTTCAAGGGCGAGTTGGTGTTTGTGTTCATCAACGGGTCTGACTCGGGGTCACAGCCAGTGCATGATTATTTTGGCACGGATCCCAAGGAGTCCTCGGTGAGTGTAGTGCGCTGCATGTGCAGTGCAGATGTTTTCTCTGCCCCTGACGGTTTGAACCCATGACTGCAAGTGATCAAAATTTTAATGGGAGAAGAAGTTCACGAGACAACTTTCAAGTCCAATCAAGCATAACCATAACGGTTGTCCTGTGCGCCCTTGCTCTCCCCTGTTGGGCTGCCCATGTCTACCCGTCTACCAGTCTACCCGTGTGCAGATCATGGGCTTCTTCATGGGAGATGAGGAGGACCCTGCGTCAATCGCTGGGAGGCTTTTAGGCGCCTCAGCCAGGATTGCACGCCTCACCTTGTTCCCCGTCACTGTCTGCCTGTCTGCCTGCTGTCTACCCGTGTGCAGATCATGGGCTTCTTTATGGGAGATGAGGAGGACCCTGCGTCAACCGCTGGTTGGCCTTTAGGCGCCTCAGCCAGGATTGCACACCTCACCTTGTTCCCCGTCACTGTCTGCCTGCCTGCCTGCCTGCCTGCTGTCTACCCTTGTGCAGGTCATGGGCTTCTTTATGGGAGATGAGGAGGACCCCGCGTCAACAGCTGGGGGGCTCAAGTACCGCATGAAGGAGGCGATCACTGAGGCCAGCATTAAGGTGAGGACGCATGAAGGAAACATGTGGTCGCCAGCAAAGGGCACACGGCATGTGCTGTCAAAAGCTCCTCGCCAACAGCTGGGGGGCTCAAGTACCGCATGAAGGAGGCGATCATCAAGGCCAGCATCAAGGTGAGGAAGTTTGAAGGTGGGCAGTGGGGACGCATGAACGTAACATGAGGTCGCGAGCAAGGGGCACAGGGCATGAGCTGTGCGTTGACGCCCGGTTAAGAATCCCTCATAAACCGCTGGGGGGCCCAAGTACCACATGAAGGAAGGGATCACTGAGGCCAGCATCAAGGTGAGGGGCGGTGGGGAAGCGTGAAGGTGGGGAGTGGATGCATGAAGGAGGGCGGTGGGGAAGCGTGAAGGTGGGCTAGCATCAAGTTATCCTCGTCAAGACCTCCCCTGGTGGTTCAAGTAGCACATAAAGGCGGCAATTACAGCGGCCAGTATTAAAGTGGGTGGATTGCGAGTCGAGGTGGGAGCATTAAGGAAAGAGCATTCAGCAGCCCAATAATTGAAGCACCCCATGAACATCACCACATTTATTTTGTGGGAGCCAGGTGGGTGCCCAATTGTTATTCGTCACTCGTTAGTTGAACCCAATCAGCAAACTAAGCAATCTGTACAACTCTCCTGGCACCCCCTGCACAGGCTATGTTTCCTGTTAATTCTTAAGGCTTTGTAAAACATACATAGCATGTGCACCTTCTCCCGAGGTGACTTTTGAGTCGACTCAAAAGGCATTGTAAAACATACATAGCATGTCCACCTTCTCCCGCGCCCTGTACATACATACAGGCATTCGCCAAGAGCTTCATTGATGGGGATCTGAAGCCCTTGTACAAGTCCGAGCCTCGGTCAAACCCCTGTGAGCAGACCATATGAGCTAACCTGTGCTGTGCAATTTGCCGTCTCCCTTGCCCTCCACTCCAGGCATTCGCCAAGGGCTTCATCGCCGGAGATCTGAAGCCTCTCTACAAGTCCAAGCCTGTTCCTGAGACCCTTCAGACGTCTCATAACGGGTACATCACCCTTTCCCTTGCACCCCCCCTCCACCCCAGGCATTCGCCAAGGGCTTCATCGCCGGAGATCTGAAGCCTCTCTACAAGTCCAAGCCTGTTCCTGAGACCCTTCAGACGTCTCATAACGGGTACATCACCTTCTCCCGTGCACTCCCTCCACTCCAGGCATTCGCCAAGAGCTTCATTGATGGGGATCTGAAGCCCTTCTACAAGTCCGAGCCTGCTCCAGAGAAGGTCAGTCAGTGAGGACAAGGGAAGCCTGAACTACAGGATTCAGATTGCAGATTGCAACAAAAATGGGGATCTGATCTGAAGCCCTTCTATAAGTCCGAGCCTGCTCCTGAGAAGGACAGTCCGTGAGAAGCGGTGAGGGCTGGCAAGGCCCGAACCGCAAGGTTGACAGGGTTGGGTTGGAGTTTGCATTAAGAATGGGATCTGAAGCCCTTCTATAAGTCCGAGCCTACTCCTGAGAAGGTCAGTGCGGAGGACGGTGAGGTTTGAGCTGCAAGATCTCATGCATGGGTGCGACAGGGGTTACAATGCATTCTGCAGCAAGAATGGGGATCTGAAGCCTTTCCACAAGTCTGAGCCTGCTCCTCAGAATGCCAGTCCGTGAGGGGTTAGTCTGCGGAAAAGTTAGTCCATGAGACGGTTGGTCAGTGCGAAGGGTAGTCAGTGAGGGGGCAGTGCCTTTTGGGGAGGAATTACTTTGCATGTGTGCGACAGGAGTTACAATGCAGTGTGCAACACGAATGGGGATCTGAAGCTTTTCTTCAAGTCCGAGCCTGCTCCTGAGCAGGACAGTCCGTGAGGGGTTAGTCTGTGGAAAAGTTAGTCTGTGGAAAAGTTAGTCTGTGGAAAAGTTAGTCTGGAAAAGTTAGTCTGTGGAAAAGTTAGTCTGTGGAAAAGTTAGTCTGTGAGAAGGTTGGTCAGTGCGAAGGGTAGTCAGTGAGAGGGCAGTGCCTTTTCGGTAGGAATTGCTTTGGAACAAGGTAATTGTCCTGTCTGACGAAATTATTCTCTCCTATCGCTCCTTCCCCTTATCCATCCGTTGCCCTACCCTTCTATCGCCCTATCCCCTTACCCGCCTTTTTATCAGAACGACGGCCCTGTGACTGTGGTGGTGAGCGATGCTCAATGGCGAAGATTGTCTTTTGAGATGTGTCAAAAGTGATCAGCCAGAGAAGAAGACGCTCACTGCTTCCTTGTCCCCATGCCCTCTCCACCTATGTCCCTTGATCCCTCCGTCCTCCCTGTACCTCAGAACGATGGCCCCGTGACTGTGGTGGTGGGCGATACTTTCGAGAAAATTGTGCTGGATGAGTCCAAGAAGCCTCGTAGTGCTTCCCTTTTCCCATATCCATCTGTCTTCCTCCGTTTCTGTTGCCCTCCTCACCAGAACGACGGCCCTGTGACTGTGGTGGTGGGCGACACTTTTGAGAAGATTGTGCTAGATGAGTCCAAGGACGTGTTGCTGGAGGTGAGAGGAGGCGGTGGGAGTAAGGTGGGGCGGGGTGTGAGTAAGGTGGGGTGGGGTGTGAGTGGTATTTTGTTGAGGGGGGCGGCACGTTTGAGAAGATAGTGCTGGACGAGTCCAAGGACGGGCTGCTGGAGGTGAGAGGGGGGCGGTGGGAGGGGGGGCTGGTGCGGCCCCCTGGTGCGGCCACTGGTGCGGCCACTGGTGCGGCCACTGGTGCGGCCACTGGAAGTCCCTCGAGCCCATTTACAAGAAGCCTTAGCTTGAACCCGCCATTCTCCCTCTCTGGTCTCCTCACGCCCTGCCTCCTTTGCTCCCGTCAGGTGTACGCCCCCTGGTGCGGGCACTGCAAGTCCCTTGAGCCCACCTACAAGAAGCTGGGGAAGCGATTCGCGTCGGTGGACTCTGTTGTGATCGCCAAGATGGATGGCACTGCAAATGAGTACCCTGGGCTCGAGGTGAGTACACAGGTTTATATGAGGCAAGATGCAACCAGTTAGTCATATGACGTGTGCGTTGGTGGACTCTGTTGTGATTGCCAAAATGGACGGCACCGCCAACAAGTACCCCCTCTCTGCCCACGTGTCACCCTCTGCCTATGTCTCACCCCCTCTCTGCCCACGTGTCACCCTCTGCCTATGTCTCACCCCCTCTCTGCCCACGTGTGAATGCAGGTTGAGGGTTTCCCAACCATCTTCTTCTATCCGGCAAACAAGAAATCCGACCCTGTAAGCCCAATCTCTCAGAACCTTCCCCCCTTCCCCTCACTTTCACAATCTTCCTCTTTCCCAACTATCTTCCACTACCTGGCCACCAAGAATTTCGAATCAGTCAGCCCACTCTCTCAAACCCCCACCCCCCCTCCCTCCCTCTTCCTCCTAGCGCTTTCAAACCCTCCCCCTGTTCTTCTTTCCCAACTATCTTCTTCTCCCAGACAGCAAGAAATTCGACCCAGTAAGCCCACCCTCTCAAACCCTCACCCCTCCTCCCTCAAACCCTCCCCCTGTTCTTCTTTCCCAACCATCTTCTATCCGGCAAACAAAGAAATCCGTACCAGTAAGCCCGCGTTCTCAAACCCCCGCCCTTTCCCGCGCCCCCACCTCCTCCTCCCAGTGCTCTCAAACTTGGCAATCTAGTTTGACTCCCACTCGTGCTTTCCCTCCTTCCCTGCTTGGAAACGCAGGTGAAAGTGCAAGCCACGAAGCTGAAGCAGTTTATCAAGGTGATTGTTGAGAACGCTGCAATCAAATTTGAACTGCCTGCCAAGGAGAAGGATTCAGCAGCAGCAGAGGCTGAGGGGGCTGCAGAGGCAGCAGGGGAAGAAGTGAAGGATGAGCTATGAGCTAGAAGCAATGAGCTGTCAGATATGAGTTACTATGAGCACTGGGCCGTGAGCTACACTTCTTGAGTCATTTTACTGGCACATTTTACCAGGAAAGCATAAAGGTTGCCATGAATAGGTTCTTGCGTATTCCTGACTAAAACTTGAGGATTGCCACGAATGGAGATCCAGTGTTTTTTGTTCATAACTTTTCCTCAGCAAGGCAGCTGAACGGAGAAAGGAAGAAGTGGAACTGAAAAGCTGAACTTGTTTCTTGTGAAAGGCTACTTGATGAGAAAGGCCTAACAAAGCAAGGCAGAGTTCATATCATCAAGCTAATGTCCTGGGACTCGATCTTCTGGAATGGGAATGTGTCTTTCCACCATTGTGGCAGTTAGGAATGGGGTAACTTCGGATGCCCAGGCTGCTGAAGGTGTGGTTTGAATATTACCAGCTTGTTGTAGGATATTACATGGCTGATTGCAGGTGATTTTTTTGGCTAGATGTTGAATAAATTCGTGTAATTTCAGTATAAGATTTCACCCCCATCCACACACTATGGGGTCATTCCGAATACGGTGACAGCATCCATATCATGCAGAGCCCAACTAGGATGCCCGCTACAGTTATCTCCGTTTCTAGACACAAACAGTGTCATTCCGTCTACATTACTTTCCCGTCAAGAGTAGTGGGAAACGCGATCGCATCCGTGGTGTGAACGATGAGCTTGCCGGTTTTGACGTAGAAGTTGAGCTTGGTGATCGCCATCGTGCTGCCCTTCTTCCCCTGCAGCACCACCTGCCCCTTCTTGTTGTTCGCCAGCTTCTGCAGCGTCATTGGCTTGCCGTTTTTGAACGCGGTCAGCGTTGTAATGTTTTTGCCCTCGGGCAGCGATTTTAGCATGTCGCCTGGGATGACTTCCTTGAACGCGCTGAAGCCGACAAGCGCCGCGAGCTCCGTGGTTTTGTACGACGTGATTTTGACCTTCTTGATTGCGTCGTTGCTGGGCACGAGCATCGTCAGCGGCTTGGAGAGTGCGGCTTTAACCTCCTTGATTTTGCCTGGACGTGGAATGGGGGGGAGGTGGAAGTACGCATTCAGTAATATTTAGTGTGCTGCTTAAAAAGAAGAAGAAAAAAAGAGTTTTGGTGCTGTGCGCATCCGAAGTGCTTCGCGTACCCGTCTCTCGGTTCTCACCGTAAGCATTGACGAGGGACACGAAGTTGGTGTAACCAGAGTCGTTGAGCTTCTTGATCGCCTCGTCAAATGGAGTCATCGGCTCCCACTGCCTTCCCCGGAGTTGTCTTGGGAGAAGTTGTTGTTTTGGGCGCGGGTGTTGTTTGAGCCGAGCAGACGACAGCGAGACCAATGAGTGCTAGCAGCAGAAGGGCGGATTGAGAACTCGCCATGGCTGAGGGAGAGTGAGAAATTGGGTTTGATCAGCGATGTTGCGTTCAACTCGTTTTTGTTTGCTGCTTGCAAACTGAGTTGATCAAGGGGTGATGCTTGTTGAGGAATGATGAATGGTTCATCTGATTTCGAGTTTATATTCCAATGGGAGTCAGCGTTTGACAAAATTCGGGTGTCGCGTCGCGTCTCGGGTGCTGAAGTCTCGGCTTCTGACGAGCCGATGCAACTCAGCGTTGAACGCGGCGGCGATAACGGCTCTCGCAGTCAAGTCAAGCTCGAAGGCGAACTGCAGTGCGACTCGAAACGACTGCGCGCGACTGATGCACACGATCAGGGATTCTCTTTTGACAGCAAGTGGTGGGCGACGTGTCCGAACAGAATACTGTATCCAGTTGCCGTTACGAATATTATGCTGTGTTCGCCCACCCCAGACCAGAAGCACATCACGCTTCTCACATCAAGCACTGGCGATCGGACTGCTGAGTTGTCGAATGACGTGGATTCGACACCAAAACCTGTAGGCGATGTGGAGGCGAACGGGTTACAGTATATCTCTTATGTCCTCGACATCAGCTTCACTGCATAATATTCACTGACACCAAATACCAAGTCGCAAATTCAAATCTACGTCGCACACCGACAGTCCATTGCCTGTCGGCAGGCGTGAGCTGCGTCATTCGATCGCAGCTTCCCCTCCAGGCTATCGCAAAACCGACAGCGTCTCGTTTTGATGAGGGGTGGAGGGAAATGAATTCTGACGCCACCGTCCACGCCCACGTCGCAAGGCTTACGTGCGAAGCCTATGTCCCGTAGATTTCATCGAGGTGCTCTGATTAGTCGTGTGCAAGTTTCCTTGTACGCATCGGATCCCAACCTTAAAGCGACGGGCAACTTTTGGCAGTGTTGGGTTCAGAAGTTTTTTTTTTGAACCAGGCTTGCCAGCGCGAAAGTGCTGGCTGGCGAAAACCAGGATTTCGTGCGGACACTTTCCATCCGCAGTAACAGTTCGCCAGGGTTCTGGGTTTTGGGTGGCAAATGTGCACCGTCGCTTTAAGAAAATGTCCCGCGCCAAAACCCGAAGTACCGTTATTCGTAGAGATTTGTTTTTTCGGAGCGTGCCCTGACCAATCGTTTTGCCAGTGCAACCATGTATTCGAGTCGCGCTGCCCGAAGGTCAGCAAATGATTCTGAAATTCCACAGAAAATCACAAATGCTGAATGTGAGGCTTGGAGGTACAAATTCAGGCATTCCACTTCGCAAACCATCATCAATTCAAAATCCTCTGCTCCACTTTCAAACAGTCGTCTCTGCATTTCTCCACACAACACTTTGAAGCACACGGTTGATAGTCCTTGCGCCGCTCCAATCGGTATTCTACTCTCGCCGGATCCTTCTGATTCATTAACTAATCCTTCTTTCCGCAACCATGGCCGTTTCTCGATCCGCTCTTCTCCTCCTGGCTCTCGTGGGCTTGGCCGTTGTCTGTTCGGCTCAATCGCCCGCACCCAAAACAACAACTTCGCCCAAGACAACTCCCGGAAAGGCCGTTGGAGCACCATCTCCGCCTGCGGGGAAGGCGCCAATGACGCCGTTCGATGAGGCCATCAAGAAGCTCAACGATCCCGGATTCACCAGCTTCGTCTCGCTCGTGAATGCCTACGGTACGAACCGCGAAGGCCCGCGACGAGTATGAGCTTCGTGGCTGAATTTCGGTTCACATTGCTTCGTTTTCCCCATTTTTTTTTTTGTTCCAAAGCGTCTCATTGTGTCTCACGATTCCTCCAATAAAAATCTTAACCCCCCCCCCCCCCCCCCCCCCCCCCCCCTTCTCCCCTCGTCGCTCACATTCTCCCCCTCTATCCCACCCGCGCGTCTCTTCCTCCTAACAGGCAAGATGAAGCAGGTCAAGGATGCTCTCTCCAAGCCGCTCACCATGCTGGTGCCCTCGAACGCGGCGATCAGCAAGCTTCAAATCACCAAGTACAAATCCACGGAGTTGATGGTGGTCGTCGGATTCTCCGCCTTCAAGAAGGTGATTCCCGCCGACGCGCTCAAGAGCCTTCCCGAGGGGAGCAACATCACGACGCTCGCGAGCACCAAGGCGGGCAAGCCAATGACGCTGCAGAAGCTGGCGAACAACAAGAAGGGGCAGGTGGTGCTGCAGGGGAAGAAGGGCAGCACGATGGTGATCACCAAGCTCAACTTCTACCTCAAGCCCGGCAAGCTCGTCGTTCACACCACCGACGCCGTCGCCTTCCCCACCACGCTCCAGGGCACAGTTCTGTAAACGGCATCGTCGCTTCGTTGCGGAGAACAGCAGCGGCCTGCCGCGCCGCGGCGCGTGAAAAATGGAGACGCGTCCGCTCCCACCATTTTTGGTAAAATATTGCTTCGCAGCTGATACTGATCTAGGAGTACTTGCAGCGTACGTCCTCCTCTGGACGTTACTCAGCGGAATAGTAGACACTTCTATAAAGGTGATTAGCCAGTAGTGTTTTAGCTTGAAACGATCTGCTGGTGCTTTAGGTTGATAAAACCGAAGACTGTAAAGACATGATATAATTACTTGATTCTTCAAAATTCTGGTCCCGGGCATTTCTGGGACCAAGAGAGAGGACATGTCATATGGATGGGTCTCGTGAGCTAATCACCACGCACAGCTGCGTGGTTTGAGGGGGTCAACATAATAATGTGCTAAATATTTAGGAGGCTGTGCTATAGAATCATCAGTTCAGCAGAAGAAATGGGGGATCCCAGTCAGTGAGGATGGCAGGGTAGCAAGTGGAACTGGTGTGGGTCTTTTAATGGCGATTCGCGAATCTTCTGATGTTACACCCCATCAGACTCCACTCAAGCTTACGAATGTCGCCGCAGCCAAATTCGATTTCGAGGACCTTTGGTTACCGCATCAAGTTCTGCGCTCCACATTTCACTCCCCAGAAAGAGAGATCCGGCACAAGATTGAATTCACTACAAAACCATCACACTTGTGAGCCGGCAACTTGATTCAGTTCCATACTATAAATCACACGTCCATGCAAAACCCACAGTTGTCGCGCTTGACAGCTGATATGGACCTAGGAAATGTCTTCCCTAGCGCTCCTCCCTCAATAAATAATGTTTCAGAGTCACCCTCATGTAACACCTCATATGTATCTGCAGATTCACCTGAACCTGAGCTTCCCACCTGATATGCAGCTTCCATTTCAGAGCTCACTATCGCCCTCTCCGGAGAAGCGCCTTAAAACTTCCCACTGTAGCTCGCACCCATCCAATACGCAGCTCTTCTCTGCGGGTCATCCATCCCCCTTATAAGCTTCCTCTCAGCCTTAGTAACAGCCTCGGAGGTGAATCGGCAGGACTGGGATCGGAGCGAGCGAGAAGGGTTGCGAGCGGATTGTGGAGGGCCAATGGGTTGCAACACAGGTTGGGTCTGCGGAAGGAGCGGGTCGCTCAGGTCGAACCGACGCATTGGAACAGTGAGGAGAGCATTATCCGTGTCGGGTAGAAGTAACCGCGACGGCCGTCGATTCAACAAATTCTGATGGGACAACACTCCCCCTTGCTGCTGCTGCTGCTGCCGCTGAGAAGAATCCTCATGTGCCACTGATGACTTGACACCAGCAGGTGAAGGAGCAGCCTGCTGAAGCCGAAACTTTTTGCTAAAAGAATCGCTTAACGAAAGGCTTCCCCTGGTATGCTTGCCGCTGCTGCCAGGGAGCTGAAACGCCTCGGTTGCTGCCTCTCCGCCGTACAATCTCTGCAGCTCATTTTTTTTAGGCGCCTCCGAAGTCAGTGCGGCGGTTTCACGCTTTCTCTGCCCCACATGAGCCTGCTCCTCCTCCTGTGCCAACTCCGCATTAAATAGCTTCCCAGCAGGCTTTGATTTAAAGCTACGGCTGCCAGTCACACGCAAGCGCCTCTCTGCTGCTGTTCCAATGGCAATGCTGCTGCAGCTTCGACTGGGTGACTTGCCAGTGCTGCTGCCCGTGCTTTGGGTGCTGGTCTTGCTGTTGTTTCTCTGCCTTGCAGTGTTAAAGCTGCTGCTGCTGCTGCTGCTGCTGCTGCTGCTGCTGCTGCTGCTGCTGCTGCTGCTGCTGCTGCTGCTGCTGCTGGTGTAATTGCTGTTACCGCTGCTGCTGTTACCGCTGCTGCTGTTACTGCTACTGCTGCTGCTGTTGCTCGTGGCGCCAGAGCTGGCGCCAACAACAGGGTATGCCCCGAAACTCTTGCTCTTCCTGATCACCTTCCCCTTCTTTGCCCCAGCTGATTGACCCTGCGAGTAGGCGTGCTGGTCAGTGTGTGAGTGAGTGTGTGCGTCAGTGTGTGAGTGAGTGTGTGGATCAGTGTGTGAATGAGTGTGTGGATCAGTGTGTGAATGAGTGTGTGACTGAGATTCACGAGATGAAGACTGGGGCCGATCAGTGGGCAAGTATGACGAGAGAGAAGGGGCTCGTTGGTGAAAAAACTGTTGCTTAGCTAAACGCTGCTGTGGCGGGACTGACTCTTGAATACCTGAGCCAGTTTCATGGCTAAGTGGCAGCGATTTTTTATTAAGTGCGCGCAGCCCCTGGCAAGCCGAGACCAGCACTTGGTTAAGTGCTGCTTGGCTAAGCACTGGTTGGTTGAGTGTGGCTTGGCTAAGGGTGCTTAGGCTGGGTGCCTCGGATTGGGGTAGACCTGTGTTGCGAAGAGTGAGAGCACGGGGGACGTAGAGAGGCTTGGAAGTATGCTTGGGGGAGGAAAGAGGTTTGGGCTTGGAAGCAGGCTTGGGGAGAGAGAGAGGATTGGAAGAAGGCTTGGGGGGAGAGAGAGGATTGGAAGAAGGCTTGGGGGGAGAGAGATGTGAGGGGCAATTCTTTTGAGGTGAGGTAACCCCCTTTGGGTGAAGGGACGGGCCGAGTGCTGGTGAGTGGGAGGGGAGTTGAGAGATGGAGGGAGAGGAGTGGTGGGTCAGAAGGTGAGGGTTGAGAAGGAAGAGGGAGGGAGGTGAAGAGAGCGAGTGAGAGTGCGAGGGGGTTCGAGTTGAGTGGACGTTCGAAGAAGGGGAATGATCATGGGGTGGTAATAGGTCCTGGTAGCCTGATGGTTGATGGTTCGACGATAAGGTATTGGTTGGCGATAAGTTATCCATTGGCGATAGGCTTTCAATTGGAGATCGGCATTCGGCACGCAATAAGTTATCATGAGATGAGGATTTCTTTAGTGGAGGCAGCGATTGGGAGGGGTGAAAAGAGGTGGAGGGTGGTGACAGGGAGAAAGAGAGGGCTTGAGGAAAGGTGAGAGAGGAAGAAGACGAAAGGGAGGAGCAGGAGGGAGGAGGAGAAGGAGAGGCGGAAGGGGGTAAGGGGGAAGGGGAAGAGCGTTGAGCGTTTGGGGGGGATTGGTTGGTGGGAGGAGGAAGGGTATTGGAGGGCGGGGTTGATTGAGGTAGGGACTTGGAGGGAGAAGTAAGAGAAAGGCCAGTGAGTGAAGGTAAGGACTTGGAGGGTAGGTCTGATAAAGAGCGAGAGTGAGAGGGAGCAAGAGAGAGGGGCCATGACAAGGGAGGGGATTGGGAGGGAGACCCGCGACGCGATCTTATCTGATACTCCCCGTTTGAGCTTATAACGAGGATCTGGAACTCTTGGGAGATGCTTGGCCGATGTGTTGTGGACTGTGAGCGGGGTACCCGAGGAAGGGACACCTGAGGAGACACCTGACGGGACACCTGAGCGGACACCTGAGGGGACTCCTGGGGGGACGCTTGAGCAGACACCTGAGGAGACACCTGAGGGGACACCTGAGGGCTTACTGTGAAAGTAAGATCCCGAGGGAAGCAAAACGTGGCTGATGATAAGGCTGACGAGTCTACTGACGCAGGCGGGTGGGCTTGTAACGCGTATGAAGCTGGCCTGTCAGCAGCCGCAGCAGCAACAGGAGTAGGGGGAGGAGGACGACGAGGAGGAGCAGCAGGAGGAGCAGCAGCAGGAGGAGGTGGAGGAGGAGCAGCAGGAGCAGCAGCAGCGGCACGGCTTGCATCAGACAAAGAATGATGTGTGCCTGAAAATGCGGGCGGCGACTGGTGGTGAGCGCTTCCGCGAGGGGAAGGGGGGGAAGCAGCAGAGGGAAATGCAGCTCCGCGTGGGGAGGAGGGGGCAACGCGGCGGGCATTGGCGCGGGGAGAGGATATGGTGCTGCTGAAGGCATGGGCGGAAGTTCCGCGTGGGGAAGGGGGGAAAGCAGAGGGGAGCGCGCGTCCCCGTGGGGAAGGGGGGAGACCAGGGGGAAAAGCGCGTCCCCTCGGGGAAGGGGGAAAAGCGGAGGGGAATGCAGGTTCGCGTGGGGATGATGCGGCGGATTGCGAGGGGGAGAGTGCGTGTGATTGCGATGGGGATGCAATGGAATGTGAGGGGGAGAGGGAGTGCGAGCAGGAGGCAACGGAGTATGAGGGAGAGATGCCGTGTGGCTGTGACTGGGAGAGAGAGACGAGCGATTGCGAGGAGGAGGGTGCGTGTGACTGTGATGGGGATGCAATGGAATGTGAGGGGGAGAGTGAGTGCGAGCGGGAGGCGACGGATTGTGAGGGAGAAGCAACGGAATGGGAGGAGGAGATGCCATGTGGCTGTGACTGGGACAGGGAGACGATGGATTGGGAGGGTGAGACGATGGATTGAGAGGGGGAGATGGCTGGGGAGAGTGAGGGTGAGTGTGAGGGAGAGAGGGATGGAAGGAGGGAGGGTGAGGAGGAGGAAACTGCTGAAGGGCGCCCTCTAGTGACTGCAGAGGAAGGATGCACGCTTGCCGAACCTGAAGATGCCGAACCAGTGGCTGCCGAGCCTGTAGATGCCAAACCTGCAGAAGCCAAGCCTAAGGCAGACGCGTTCACAGCTGAACGGGAGCGCTGGTGCAACGCGGACTGCCTCTGGTACCGTTGCTGCTGCTGCTGCTGGTCCAGCTCTGGCTCCCTTTCCCCATGTGGAAACCCCTCGAATGCTACACTCACAGCGTTGACTAGGTTGATTGCGTTGACTCCGTTGACTGCGTTCATGGCTGAACGAGAGCGGTGGTGCAACGTGGATAGCCTCTGATGCTTCTTCTGCTGCTGCTGCTGCTGCTGCTGCTGCTGCTCTGTCTTCTTCTGCTGCTGCTGCTGCTGCTGCTCTGTCTTCTTCTGCTGCTGCATCTGCTGCTGCTGCTGTGTCTTCGCCTGCTGTTGCTGCTGTTGCTGCAGCTGCTGCTGCTGCTGCTGCGGCTGTAGCTCTCCTCTCCCCTGATGATGTTGCATCTCATACACCCCATTGACCGCGTTGACCGCGTTGACCGCGTTTGACGTGCACGAACGAGATCTATGGTGCAACGCAAAGGACCTCTGTTGCTGCTGCTGCTGCTGCTGCTGCTGCAACTCTGCTGCCCCATCTCCCTCTTCCTCACACACCCCGTTGACCCCATTGACCGAGTTGACCGCGTTTGACGTATACGAACGCGACCTATGGTGCATCGCATGGTGCCTCTGCCTCTGCTGCTGCTGCTGCTGCTGCTGCTGCTGCTGCTGTGACTGCAGCTCTGCTGCCCCCTCTCTGTCTGCCTCGCACACTCCATTGACCCCGTTGACCCCATTCATCCCACTGACCGCCTCGACCTTGCTGACCGCGCTGACCCCGCTTACCACGTTTACCTCGTTGACCCCGTTGACTAGAGAGGAGAGCGACCGGTGGTGCAGGGCGGAGAACCGCCGCCGCTGCTGCGACCCCTCCAGCAGTCGCTGTAGCTGCGCCGCCGCCCTTGCCGCCTCCGCCCTGTGCCTATCCGCTTCCGCTTTTATCCTATCCGTCTCCGTCCTGTGCCCGTGAATATCCGTCTCGTCGTTGACCCCAGTCAACGAGCTCACCTCCGTCCTCTCCGCCTCGTCGTTGACCCTAGTCAACACGGTCGCCCCCTCCTGCCGCTCCCACACAGTCTGCCCAAACACTTCCACGAAATCGTCGTCTGAGTCGACTGAGGGGCGCGAGTCCGCCTTGAGTCGCGCTAAAACGTCTAGAGACTGCCTTACCCGCTGCGCCTCCTGCGTTCTTTGCGTATCCTGCGCTTTTTGACCCGCCTGCGAACCCTGTGACTGCTTCTGCTGCTGCTGCGCCTGCTGCGGTGACTGCTGCTGCTGCTGCTGCGTCTGCTGCGACAATATCACGGCCAAGCGCGAAGGACCGACGCGCTGCTGCTGCGTCGTCACGCCGCCAGCGGCGGCGGCGGCGGCGGCGGCTGCGATGGAGGCGGAGGAGGAGCCGGCATTGAAAAGCGCTTCCAGGAAATCCTCGTCCGAATCCACAGACGGGCGGCAGTCTACCCCCGAATCTGGGCGGCAATCTAACCCCACATCTGGGCGGCAAGCTACTCCCGCATCTGGGCGGCAATCTAGCCCCCGATTTGGGCGGCTAGCTACCCCTCCATCAGCCGCCGCCAAACGACTCAAGGAAGGCTCCAGAGGCGAACCGCGCCGCTGCACTGCTGCCGCTCTGCAAAGCGCTTCCAGAAAATCCTCGTCCGAATCGACGGAGGGAAGAGATGCTACGCCACCTGACTGGAATTGGACGGCTCTCGGACGGCACCCCACACCTCCGTTTACGTCTACGTTTACGTTTGCGCTTACGCGCCGCTCCGCCACACCCTGACGAGACGCGGCGAAACGCTCTAATACTGCAGCAGCAACAGGAGCAGCAGCAGCAGCAGATGCAGCAGCGGCGGCTGCTGCTGCTGCTGCGCCGTTTTGAGTGGCTGCGACGTCGCGCAGCATTTGAACAAATTCCTCGTCCGAGTCGACCGTCTCACGCTCGTTGTCGCATGGCGTCGCAAGAGGCTGCCGCCTGTCGCCAGCGGAAGCGGCGGTAGGGGCGGATGGGCGGAAACGAGGGCTGCGGGGGCTTCTGGGGGAAGTTTTGGGGGAGGGCGGGGCGAACCGGCCCCTATCCCCGCGTTGGGTGGCGGGCGCCGCGGAGCGGAAGCCGCCGCGCGGGGATCGGGGGGACACGGGGGGCTTCCGCGAACGTTCGTCCTCTAGAATATTCGCGTAGATCCCCGTGACGTCCATCGAGCGGCTAGGAACGTGCCGCTGCTCTTTCGCCGAGCGACTATACTCTCTCCCCATGCGAGTAGAACCCTGGCTGAGATTCCCCTGACCGGCATTCCCGTGACTGCCTTCCCCCTGCCTGAAATCCTCCTGACTATAAACCCCCTGCTTGCTGTACCGACCCTCGCCTCCCCCCTGATGAACCGAGCTCCCCGCACTACTCATCCTCTCGCTATCATAATACGCAATATTCGCAAAAATACCCGTAACGTCCATCGACCGGCTAGGAACGTGGCGATACTCCTTGCTGGAGCGACAGCTGCGAAGCGACTCGGCCTGACTGCTGGTTACGCTACTTATGCTTTCGCTAGCGTTGGATGAAACACTGGAATGGACGTCAAACGAGTCTGCCACTAACGGGTTCGCCTGCGACCAGGAATGCTGCCTGGAGTGCCGTCGCACGGCCGACCCCGCGCGTCGCAAGCTCGCCGTCGCACGAGTCGCTGCGTCTGCAGTCTGCTGCGCGAATGCCACCATGCGACCGGACAAAGCCCTGCGACGTGAGTCAGGCGACAGAATATCAACCGAGGAGTTAACAAGTCGTTCTCTGGGCGACACTTTCGGCGACTCTTTCGGCGACTCTTTCGGCGACTCTTTTGGCGAATGTCTTGGCGACTGAGAGTCACGGGAAAGATTCGATTGCCTCGAAAACTTCCCTCTTGTAAAGGAAGACGGCGCGGTGATTGGGCCTGGTGAGTACACCGGCGAGCAGGAAGACGGACCGTCAGGGGAGCCGTCAACTTTGACGGCTAGCCGACTGAAACGACTTGGCTTGACCAAAGTAGAAGGCGCCGACTCCGACAGAGAACGCGGCTTTAAGCGGTGCGCTTGTGACCGTTGATAATGATCCTGGGACTGTTGGCGTTCCTCTAACCGTTGATCATGCCATTGCGACCGTTGATCCCCTCGCAGCTCCTCCCAAACGTCATCCGTACTGTACAAATCCGCGGAATCCTCTCCCATCCTCTCCTCCTGAGCCTCCGCAATTTCGCTCGCAGTCGCACTGCTAGGGTTTGCTAGACTCTGCGATTTCCCTTTTACCCTATTCTGTCTCTGCTGCTGCTGCTGCTGCTGCTGCTGCTGCTGCTGCTGCTGCTGTTGCTGCAGCTGCTCCAGTCTCTGGGACTGCTTCAGCCTCCATGATCCTTGTTTCTCCTCTCCCCTACTACCGTGCGTCGTTCGAATCGCCTCGGAAAACGCGACCCGCGTCGCCGGTTCGAGAGATGTTTCACCCGCCGAAACTTGCGTCCTGGCGTCTGGCGAGAAAGAATCTGCGACGAAATCTTGCGATCCCGGACCGTCGTTCCCAGGTTCCCGCCTAAGCATCTCCTGAAGCTCCCGCCATCCCACGTGGCGGTTTGATTTGCTGTCCGCTACTATGCTCGATTCCGTATGAAGCTGCTGCTGTTGCTGTTGCTGTTGCTGTTGCTGTTGCTGTTGCTGTTGTTGCTGCTGCAGCTGCCATTGCGACGCTTGCAACTCATTCTGTCTTCTTTGCGACGGGAACCCTAACAGGACGCGCGGCTCGGTCTGGTCCAAGCAACTGACGATTTCCATTTTCGCTGGTCTTTAAAACATAAAATTGTGTAGCTAAAAATCAGCGGCAAACATACGCGTCGCACGAGATTAGCTGGAAGTCCCTTCGACATTGATAGTGTCAAATGCACATGTGTGGAACAGGACAGGAGATTATTACAGACTTTGGAAAAACTAATGGTCCAGACATAATCTCCTAATTCGAGTCCGCCTCGCGTCTAGACAAAAAATCACATACAACCCAAGGGAGTTGACGTTCTGGGCTCCCACCCATGCTCCACAGGATGATGTGGAACGATATCAGGAAGGAGTCACATCACAACAAGCAACCACCACCATACACACAGTGAAGCGACCACCCAGGCATTCCCGCGTTTTTGCAACGTGGAATGAAAGAGTTTCATTTCATGATCATCTCTTCCCTGCCTGCCTACAGTACCATACTCCCTGACGGTTTCCACCCTGACCGTTTCACCTTGTGTTCTGTTTTACAGCAATGTTCTGGAAATGTCAAACGAGAATTAAAGTGGTACAGTATTTTTAGAGCCAGGTTTGGATGGGTGGGGAGGAACTAAACTGTTCAAGGTTAACTGAAACTGAACACTTGGGAACTGAATCACCATAGCTACAGTAATTGCCAGAGAATCCACACCCACATGGGTTGCAAGAACGGAAGGGGACAAAACGAAACCCGAGGCACGCAGTTGCCTGCTGGATGGATACACCCTGTTTCTCGCTATTATAGATTCCGGTATACTGAACCCAGTGAGCCAAAACGCGTCGAAGGACGCGTTATAGTCAAGTTTCGCACCAGTGCGTTTTGACGAGGCTGGTTACGTTTGAGAGCGTTCAAAAAAAGTTTTTAGAATGGCTCGGTAGGGTACACAGGATAAGAAATTTTTGAATCGCCCGCCTGGTTATTGGCAGAAAACTTTCCGAATACGTCCAAGGAACAGTTCAACTGCTGAGTCTGTTTTCACAGTTTCTAGTAGCGCGAAACAGGGTGTATTCCCTTCTTGCCTCGCCTTGCTGCCTGGACCCCATCCACATCCTGCCCTCCTCCCCTCGCCAGAAGTACAGCCACCATGCTGCAGTTTTCTTGGAATTGTCGCGTGTGATGAGGAAGAAGGGCACATCCTCGGGTTTGTCTTGTCTCCTTCGAGCTTGCCCCCACTTCTATTCGACTCGACACTCATTTTGCACATAGGTACTGTCAGAGGCGAATTTGTTTCACAAGTTCGTGTACTTCAGTGCTAATCAGGAGAACGAAGACATTTATCGCTAGACATTCACCATCTGCCACCGCCTTGCTGAATGCTCTGCAGTATTGATGTGCTTCTCCCTGAACAAGGGCAAGTGGAAAAGTTTCGACATGCCCTTGAAAGGCTGCGGTGCGGTCCTTCAAGGACACACCCAAAGGCGGTGCGAAAAGGGACCGACCTGGCTGCTTGCCAACCACTCATTTCGCCGCAGGTCCAGAGCGGTTATCATATTCCTTAACAGCACAGAATGTACACTTTTTTGGTGATGTGATGTATGCATACAATCACCTACAAAATGCTTATTGCAAAATGCTACCTTATTCCTAGTGCAGCACAGCACTGAACAGATTTAACACCAGAAGAAGTCCATAATAACAAAAATCAGAACCTCGGATACCAAAACATCGCTTTGATTCCCTCGGGATCTGCTTCGAATCCCATGCCCTTGTAGAAGTCCACCACTGGATGAACAGCAACAATCACCACAAAATAGATTGAACATTATATTGCCATAGCCACCTAAACAAAATTGAGCCAAAAATACATTGTTGAACTTCTGCAGACATTGATAGACATCCGATACGGTACCTTGCGAATCTGCAAAGAGGGTGATGTTGCCGATATCTCGCCGCAACAGCGCCCGAACCGTTTGCTCCACTAGAGCCTTGCCCAAGCCTTGACCCTGTGCCAGGTGATTCAGATACGGTATGAATATTAATCGGAATATTACATGTTGTCATCACGTCATTCCAAAAATGTCCAGGCCTTGATCCTGTGGTTAGCTTAGGGTACATTCCGGGCTTTGGTCAGAACAGCTGGTTAACACTGTAGCCAACCTAACAATTAGCACAATTGGTGAGAAATAAGTACGATTTAGGGTCGCAGGAACGGAGGTTTGACCAGAGCCCCGAATGTACTCTTATTCAGGCATGGGATGGGTATGTGTGCACACACACTGTGGGACGGATCTTGGCATGGGTCATAAGCACATACACGAGCACATACACAACCAAGCACATACAGACAAGACTGCACACAAAAATGAGCAGATGCATTAAACTTACATATATGAGTACATACACACATATGCAGATGGGACACACATGAGCACATCCACACGTGAGCACAGCACATCCACACATGACCACATGCATACCGATATTTCCATATCCACCAGCATGTCGCAGATGGTTGTATTAATGTGTGGTCTGACGCGAAGGAATGCAAACCGGGTGTGATTCACACAGCAATAACTCATCCCGCACTCACATGTGGGGTGACTGATGGAACGTGCAGTAGCAGCAATACTGTACCTGGAACGTAATCTGGGATCCAGCAGCACGCCCCCCAGATGGTGGCGTTGAAGGTGTGGTCTGAATGTGGAAGCGAGAATTGTGGGTGTGCTTTCAACACTGACAGTTCCTGCTGCAGTGACACGTGTTGCCCTGACATGTGATTTGACAGCAATATTGTACCTGGAATCTGGGATCCACTCCACCAGCACGCCCCCCAGCTGGTGGCGATGAATGTGTGGCCAAAACGATACCAAATATTTATATTGCGTGTGCTTTCAACACTGACAGTTGCTGCAGTGACGCATTTTGCATTGACATGTGCTTTATCGCACAGGAAGGTACCTGGAATCTTGGATCCACCAGCACGTCCCAGATGGTGGCATTAAACGTGTGGTCTGACGTGGCTCGGGCCATGCCTATCAGCTCCCTCTCCCCGCCCTCTGTCTCCGCCTCTGATGGAGGGGCGGGGGCGGAGGAGCGAAGTAGGGTAGGTAGGGAGGGAGGGATGGAGGGAGGGAGGGAGGGAGGGAGGGAGGGAGGGAGGGAGGGAGGGAGGGAGGGAAGGTGGGTGGGAGGGAGGGAGGGAGGGAAAGAGGGAAGGAGGGTGGGAGGGAGGGAGGGAGGAAAAGAGGGAGGGAGGAAGGGAGGGAATAAAGCAGCACGTCCTGGGATTAAACGTGCGGTCTGACGTGGCGCACGCCATGACTATCAGCTCCCTCTCCCCACCGCCCTTCCCCTTCGTGGGAGAGAGGCAGAGAGGGGCAGAGGTGGAGAGTGAGGGAGAGAGTAAGGAAAGGAGGGAAGGAGGGACGGACGGAGAGAGGGAATGAGTGGCACAGGCATGCCCATCAGCTCCATCTCCCCGCCG